AGAGATTTAGACACATTTTTTGGGAAACAGAGAAGATTATCATCACGATGATGAAGTGTGAGAAATACAAATTGGAAAACCAGAAACCAAAAACAAAAACAGAAGAGACTTATCTTCTTCAATCGTTTTGTTTTTAAATTTGTTGGATTTAATGGAAAGTTAATTGAAAAAAACAGAGAAAATTTCGATATATATCCAATCCAGAAATTTGATCAGATTAAATTTTCATTATTTTAGTGTGCTATTTTGTTCTGTTTCTTTTCCTGCTTGGTGTATGTGTATGTATGTAATCTGTATCTATTTCAACAATGGAATTGAATTTTTTTGTTTTGTTTTTGTTTTGATTTTCACATTTGTTTTTTTTTTGCGTAAATAATTAATTCTCTCTTCTTAATTCTGATTATTCTTGGCTTAGAATGGCTTTCATTCGTTTCATTTTGAAACAACAGCAACTTGAAGAATTTGATTGTTTCAAAATCCATATGATTGATATACTAAGAGAGAGAGAGAAAAAAAGAATCTAGAAATCTTTTCTTGAAACTTTCTCCATTTGTGTTTGGATTATTTTTAAACATGCACAGAGAAAAGTTTCTCTGTTAATTGATTTCTAAAGAATTTTACCATCATTATCACCGTTTTTTTTTTGTTGTTGAGGGAATTAAGATAGTCCCGATCAGAAGAAAAAAGAAAAGATTTTTGCTTTTTGGACTGATTGGCTGGCTGATTGGTGACAAAAAAAACTTCTGTCACCACTGCTTTTGATTTTTTTTTCTAAACAGGCCAAAATTCTGGAAATTTTTTTCTGAATGTTATTTAAGGAAATGTTCCGAAAATAATTTCCATATTTTATCGACGATTTGTGTTCTGCATATTCCTTTCATTAACGTATCCAATTTTTTCATTTTCATTTTACCAATCATCATCATCATCATAATGATCGTCATAGGTCGATCGGTCGGTATTTCTGTACTCTCTCTCTCTCTCTCTCTCTCTCTCTCTCTCTCTCTCTCTCTGTGTGTGTGTGTGTTTTTGCTATTTTCGAGGTTACACATGATCGGTATGGATCCGACAAAAAAAAANTTTTTTTTTTTGTTTCATTTTACCAATCATCATCATCATCATAATGATCGTCATAGGTCGATCGGTCGGTATTTCTGTACTCTCTCTCTCTCTCTCTCTCTCTCTCTCTCTCTGTGTGTGTGTTTTTGCTATTTTCGAGGTTACACATGATCGGTATGGATCCGACAAAAAAAAATCGGTAAAAAAAAAGTCCGAAACATTTTCTAATGAACAAGAAAAAAAAACCTGGTTGGTTGGTTGGTTAGTTGACGAAGAGAGCAAGACCAGAAAAAAAGAAAGAAAGACAGAATTTTGCTATATCTTGCGTTTGTCAAGGACCAGAATAATTGGGGGGGGAGAAAAAAACCGATTTTGTAAATGTGAATAATCGGTATACCGCTTCTACTACTATAGCACCACTTTACTGCTATCTCCGACACTACTATCACAACCACTACTGCTATTACTGCTACTAGCATTCGAATATTCAAAATGTTCGAAATGTTGTTAGAATTCGAAAGATACCTGGAACCTTGGTTGCCAAAAAAAAAAAACAAACAAAACATTTTTATTTGAATCCTGGTTCCAAAAATTTTACTATAGTTTTTTGTTGTTGTTGTTGTTGATAATGATGATTTTTGTTGTATCTTTTTTCACCATCTACCACCACCAATCATCATCACTTGTTATTCAATGAATTCTCAACAGAATCCAAAAAAATAATAATAATACTGGTTCATGTCGGAATTTCGTTTCGTTTTTTTTTTGTTTTCTTAACATCATAAAGTATCAAACAACTTGAAGGGCAACCAAAAACCGAAACAAACCAACATCATTTGGGTAATTTTAAAATGTTTTTTTCTTTCGCTCACTAACTCTCCCCAACTGTGTTTGACTATTTAACTTGAAAAAATTGTAAGCATTTTTTTCTATTCAAATTTTTTTTCATTTTTCTTCTTTATATTCTCTTTCCTTTGCTTTACTTTTTGATTTTATCGAAGAATTTGTCATTTACGTTACTATTTTTAACTTTATTTTCTTCTCTCATATTCAATCACATAGTTAAACTATTCACGTTTTAGAATTTTGATGAGAATGTTGTGAATTCAAAATGAAAAGAAAATTGAACTAAAAACATCAACAACATTGAACTTAATTGAATTTTCTTTTTTTTTGTCGATCAAAATGAAATTGAAAAATCTTTGGATTTTTTCTATTTCATTTCAAAATATCCTTTTCAAACTTTACAAAAAAAAAAATAAATAAATAAACACTATTTCAATCCAATACTGCTTCTTCCCATACCACACACACACACACAAACACCGCACATGGTGGTGCTTAGTTAGATTCTTGCGCTATCTTTTTCTTCATCTGTTTGTTACACTCTTTCTCTCTTTCTATGTTGTTTTGAATTCTGCTACTCAAGATATTCAATTCAGTAAAAAGAGAAACAACCACCACCATCATTTACAACCACACACAATTGAAATGGAAGAAGTAACCCGTATTGAATGATTGAATGAATGAATATTTCCACTTTCTCTTAATGTTTATGTTTTTGTTGTTTGTTTGTTTTGGTTTGTGTATGTGTTTTTTGATGATGGCAAATTCGAGCCACAAAAAACACATGCAGAAAACAAAAATGAACAAAAATGAAAAAAAGTAAAGAATTTTGAATTGGAAAAACAAAATTGAATTGAATTGAATTGAAAGGAAAGGAAAAAATCTAACCTGAACACAATGATGATAATGAAGCAGTTAAAATGAATCGGCTGTTTTTTTTTAATTTTAGTTTTTTGATAAAGAATGTTTTCAGATTGTTTGATTGTCATTGAAAATTTAAAAAAAAAGAAAAAAGTAAAAAGTAAAAAACAAAGTAACGAAAATATGCATACAATCAAGGTAAATTTTTGTTTGTTTGTTTGATTGGATTCTTTCAATTTTTTACCCAAATAAAATTATTCTACATCTTTTTTCTATTTTTTTGCATGGGAAACTAATTAACAATGTTTTTTTCTGTTGTTTGAAAATGAATGAATAACAACAACAAAAAAAAGAACACAGTGTTAATGGTGAAACATTTGATGCCAGAATAATAATTTGTGACTAATTTGTCGCCTGGCGATANCTCTTTCTCTCTTTCTATGTTGTTTTGAATTCTGCTACTCAAGATATTCAATTCAGTAAAAAGAGAAACAACCACCACCACAATTTACACAACCACACACAATTGAAATGGAAGAAGTAACCCGTATTGAATGATTGAATGAATGAATGAATATTTCCACTTTCTCTTAATGTTTATGTTTTTGTTTTTGTTTGTTTGTTTGTGTATATGTTTTTTGATGATGGCAAATTCGAGCCACAAAAACACATACAGAAAATAAAAAACAAAAATGAAAATTAAAAAAAATAGTAAAGAATTTTGAATTGGAAAAACAAAATTGAATTGAAAGGAAAGGAAAAAATCTAACCAGAACACAAATGATGATAATGAAGCAGTTAAAATGAATCGGCTGTTTTTTTTAATTTTCGTTTTTTTGATAAAGAATGTTTTCAGATTGTTTGATTGTCATTGAAAATTTCAAAAAGAAAAAAGTAAAAAGTAAAAAACAAAGTAACGAAAATATGCATACAACCAAGGTAAATTTTTGTTTGTTTGTTTGTTTGATTGGATTCTTTCAATATTTTACCAAATAAAATTATTCTACATCTTTTTTCTTTTTTTGCATGGGAAACTAATTAACAATGTTTTTTTCTGTTGTTTGAAAATGAATGAATAACAACAACAAAAAAAAGAACACAGTGTTAATGGTGAAACATTTGATGCCAGAATAATAATTTGTGACTAATTTGTCGCCTGGCGATATTTACATCTACATTGTTGTTGTTGTTCGTTGTTCGTTGTTGTCGCCGACGACGCATTCGTAATTGTTTTTTGTTTTTTCGTTTCGTTTCGTTCGTTGATCGATTTGAATGTGAAATGAAAAAAGGAAAACAAAAAAAATCGCTCTCTATTTTTTTTATGAATATTCATCTTGTCTTTTTGTCCGAAAAAAGAAAGAATTGACCCAAAATGATCAAATTAGATCTGGAAAGTAAATTTTCAAACATTTCGAAACAATCCAATTTGTTATTTATTATTTAAGTTTGTTTTTCTGCTGTTGTTGTTAAATTTATTAATTATTCATTTCTGTTTTCTGTTTTTTTCCAAATTACCTTTTCCCCCTCATTCAAGATGATCAACCTTAAAATGCAGAATTGACAAATGTCAATCACAACAATCGCCACAATGATGTTGATGAAAATGAAAATAAAATTTTTGATATGATAACCAAAAAGAAAAGAAAAAGAAAATACATTTCTTGATTATTCACCTTGTTGTTTGTTGGTTTACCTTATGACCGAAAACAAAAAAGAGCAGAATCTACACACTATTAATAAAATTTCAACAGAAGAAGAAAAAAAATCTTGAAGAATTTCTAATTTAACGCCCAGAATTTTTATAAAAAATATTTCAATTTGTTTGTTTTGTTTTTGTTTTTCTACTGCAAATAGTTTTTTTTTCATTCTATTATTCTTTGTGTGTGTGTTTGTTTGTTTGTGTGCGTGTGTTTCAAATTTCATCAATTTTTTTTCCCCGTTTGTTTTCGTTTTAGTCAAATCAAATCAAATGAAATAAGGAAGAAAACAACCGAAAATATTTTTCATTTCAACTCTTTTTTTTTGGATTCCTTGTTTGTTTGTTTGTTTTCATCGTCAAATCATTTGATCATCATCAACATCATTCTTAAATAATAATAATAATAATTGTGTTTTGTTTTGTTATTCACTTAATTAATTTATTCTATGAGAAACAAAATTTGTTGAAATAATCTTCATCCAATTTTTTTCCCATTCATCATCATCATTACTTACTTATTCATCATCATCATCATCATCATCATCCATCTATCTATTACTTGGAAAATAAAAAGAAATTTATCAAATTACTAATATAAAATAATATAAATAATAAATAAAAATGGCAACAACAACAAGCGGCAGTATTAGTGGTGGTAGTAGTTTTGATATAACCGTTATGGAATTACGTGAATTAATGGATTGTCGTGGTCAAGAAACAATATCAAAAATACAACAAAAATATGGTAGCGTTTTGAATTTATGTCAAAAATTACGTACATCACAAAATGAAGGTTTAAGCGGTGAACAACAAGATCTTGAATTAAGGAAACAGGTTTTTGGTGCCAATGTGATACCCCCAAAACCGCCAAAAACCTTTTTGCAATTGGTTTGGGAAGCATTACAAGATGTAACATTGATTATACTTGAAGTTGCTGCCATTATTTCATTGGCACTTGCCTTCTATAAGCCTCCTGATACCAGTGATGACGAAGACTCAACGGGTATGTAATATTTGTGAAATGATGAAATTCATTCATTTTATCCATTTCCTTCAATTATCAGGCGGCCCATTACAGGAAGAAAGTGAAGCCGGTTGGATTGAAGGTGCTGCCATTCTTGTCTCCGTAATCATTGTGGTTATAGTCACTGCCTTCAATGATTATACGAAAGAACGACAGTTTCGTGGCCTACAAAATCGTATCGAACACGAGCACAAATTTTCTGTTATTCGTAATGGTGAAGTGATTCAATTGCTCGTTTCTGATTTAGTTGTTGGCGATATCTGTCAGGTTAAATATGGTGATCTATTACCAGCCGATGGTATTATCATACAAAGTAATGATCTTAAAGTGGATGAATCATCATTGACCGGTGAATCGGATCATGTGAAAAAAGGTCTTGATTATGATCCAACATTATTCTCCGGTACACATGTGATGGAAGGTAGTGGCCGTATGGTTGTTACCGCTGTCGGTATTAATTCACAGGCCGGTATTATATTTGCCCTTTTGGGTGCCGCTCAAACCGAAGATGATGAACAGAGAAAGAAAGCTAAAAAAGGTAAATTTTTTGATTTGAAAAAAATGTTTCAATTTGTTTGATTCGATTCTTATCACTGTCATTAACAACAGAAGCAAAAAAGAAAAAGAAAAGGAAAAGTATTGTTTCGGCCGATGAAGAAGCAGGTGAATCTGGTGGTGTTCTTGCCGGAAATGTTGCTATCGGCAGTACTGGTGGCAATTCACATCCATCCAATATGATGAGTATGAATGCAATTGGACCATCAATGGCCGCACCACAACATGGAGCCGATTTATCTGGTTTACGATCAGTCGATAGTGCTGGCAGTGGTGCACTTACCGATTCAGCATTAACCGATAGTGATCATCGTAAATCTAGACAAGATGAAGAAACATCGAATCCTCGTAAAGAGAAATCTGTGTTACAAGCAAAACTAACCAAATTAGCCATCCAAATCGGTTACGGAGGTAAAGTGACCATTACATTCTTTTCACATTCTGATTTTAAATCAATTTATTATCATTCAATATAGGATCGGCCATCGCAGTGTTAACTGTAGTCATATTAATATTACGTTTTGTGATCAAGAAATTTGTCATTCAAAACAAACGTTTCAAAATGATGTATATGCAATATTTTGTAAAATTTGTCATTATCGGCGTCACCGTTCTTGTTGTTGCTGTGCCTGAAGGTCTTCCATTGGCTGTAACATTGGCTTTGGCCTATTCAGTCAAAGTATGATGATGATGATTATCAATGAATGTTGTAATCTGATTTGATTGTTTTTTCTTCACCCCATTTAGAAAATGATGCATGACAATAATCTGGTCCGTCATTTGGACGCTTGTGAAACAATGGGTAATGCTACGGCCATTTGCTCAGACAAAACCGGCACATTGACAACTAATCGTATGACGGCCGTACAATGCTATTGCTGTGGTGTTCATTATAAACAGATTCCCAAATTTGAGCAATTGCCCGCCAATCTTTCCAACACTTTAATCGAGGCAATTGCATTCAATAGTGCTTATACAACTAGAATTATGGTCAGTTTGTTTTTTGTTTTCCATTTTTTGTTGATTTTAATTCTTATTTTGTGTTTTATATCGACAATAGCCGCCTGATAATCCGGGTGATAATCCCAAACAGGTTGGCAACAAAACTGAATGTGCCCTTCTTGGTTTCGTTTTGGATCTTGGTAAAGATTATCAAGCGTTACGTGATCGAATGCCCGAAGAAAAATTATATAAAGTTTATACATTCAATTCGGTCCGTAAATCTATGTCGACCGTCATACAATTACCAAACAATGAAGGTTTTCGTGTGTTCACCAAAGTATGTTAATTTTTTAAAAAATTTGTTTTTTTGTTGATAATAACATTTGTTTGTGGATTAGGGAGCTTCCGAGATCATAATGAGACGTTGTATGTTTATATTTGGTAAAGATGGTACCTTGTTACGATTTCCAAAAGAAGAACAAGATAAATTGATTAAAAATGTGATCGAACCAATGGCATCGGATGGCCTTCGTACAATCGGTGTTGCCTATAAAGATTTTGTTCGACGTAAACCATCATCAGCCAATGAAATACAGATTGATGGTGAACCTAATTGGGACGATGAAGATTATATTCAAACACGTTTAACTTGTTTAGCTATTGTCGGTATTGAAGATCCTGTCCGACCTGAGGTATGATTCAATTGTTTAATATTTTTCACTATTGAAATTAATAAACCCAATTTGAATTTTTGGTAGGTGCCTGATGCTATTCGTAGATGTCAACAAGCTGGTATAACTGTTCGTATGGTGACTGGTGATAATGTCAATACAGCCCGATCGATTGCAACCAAATGTGGTATCGTTAAACCGGGTGAAGATTTTCTTGTACTTGAAGGCAAAGAATTTAATAAACGTATTCGTGATGCACGTGGAGAAGTACGACAAGAATTATTCGATAAAGTATGGCCACGTTTGCGTGTATTGGCACGTTCATCACCGTCCGATAAATATATTTTAGTCAAACACATTATTGAATCGAAGCTCAATCCAAATCGTGAAGTTGTTGCCGTCACTGGTGATGGTACCAACGATGGCCCAGCATTAAAGAAAGCGGATGTCGGTTTTGCTATGGGCATTGCCGGTACCGATGTTGCGAAAGAGGCTTCTGACATTATTCTTACTGATGATAATTTCTCCAGTATTGTAAAAGCTGTAATGTGGGGTCGTAATGTTTACGATTCGATTGCAAAATTTTTACAATTTCAATTGACCGTCAATGTTGTCGCTGTGATTGTGGCCTTTGTCGGAGCCTGTGCCATTGAGGTTTGTTTCAATGAATGAATGAATGATTATCATTTTTTATTTTTGTAATGAATTTTCAAAACCACAGGACAGTCCATTAAAAGCTGTACAAATGTTATGGGTCAATTTGATAATGGACACATTAGCATCACTAGCGCTGGCAACCGAATTACCAACCACCGATCTTCTTACACGTAAACCATATGGTCGTACGAAACCATTAATTTCTCGTACAATGATGAAAAATATTATTGGCCACGCTATCTATCAATTGACCGTCATATTCTTCCTATTATTTGCCGGTTTGCTATATTTTATTCGTTTTTTTGCACACTCAAATTATTATCGTTATCATTTTTTTTAAATAGGTCATCGATTTTTCGATATTGATTCGGGTCTTGGTGCCGAATTGAATGCCCTACCATCGCAACATTTTACCATCATTTTCAATACGTTTGTCATGATGACATTGTTTAATGAAATTAATTCACGAAAAATACACGGCGAACGAAATATTTTCGAAGGTCTTTTCACTAATCCCATTTTCTACGGAATTCTATTTCTCACTGCCTTTGCTCAAGTATGTGTGTCCATAACATTTGCCATGATTGATTGATTAATTTTTTTTTTCATCTCCATCTTCCAGGTGATTATCGTCCAATTCGGTGGTCGACCATTTAGCACAGCCTCACTGACACTAGAGCAATGGGCATGGTGTATATTTTTCGGTGTTGGCGTGTTAGTATGGGGACAATTAATCACAACGATTCCGACCAAACGAATACCTAAACAATTTTCATGGGGTAGTGGTCCACCCGAAGAGATAATGGATGCGACAAGTTCATTGGTGGAAGACGGTTCATCCGGTTCATTATCACAGGATGTCAAACGTACTGGCCAAATATTATGGATACGCGGATTAACACGTCTGCAGACTCAGGTATGCCTGATACAGTTGCATAACAGCACCGTGTCGCAGCAGCTGTCGCTCAAAAGGGCGAGCATTGGTTCGCCAACATCGCCAACAACAAGTACTGGTGTAGCTGCGGTTACAGGTGGTACGGCCGCTGCTGGTGCTATTGCTGGTGCTTTGGCAGCTGCAGCTGCTGCTGCAGCTAGTACGGCCGGAAGTGGTGGCTCCACCGCTTCAACAACTACAACAGCGACCGGTACTATTACTATCGAGCAACAACACCATTCCCATCACCAGCACCATCACCACCAACAACAACATTATTCACCACAGTTAGCTAGCACTGTAGAAGAAAGTTTAGATAATATGGCCAAACCGCAGGCCGATAATCAATCCGATCAGAAAACGATTGGACAGCAATCAGATTCAGACATTGATACACAACAGTCACAACAACAACAACAGCCACAAAAGTCAGGTGTTATAACAACAACCACCACTACAATCATAACAACAAAAACACATCCCCAACAACAACAACAACAACGTCAGAATTCAAAGACAATGTTAGATAATATAGTGATGGTGGATGCAGCCAATGAACAGGTCAAAACCAAAACCAGTAGCAAACATAATAGAAATAGTGATGTACAAAAACCCATAGTGATCAATGATGATCCGTTAGGTATAGGAAAAGCAACAACCACTTTAATAACAACTTCAGATCAAGGTACCGGTATAGGTATTTTACCATCATCATCATCAACAGTAACAGCAACAACAGCAGCAGCAGTAGCTATAGCACCGCCATTAATACCCGAACAAAAACATCATCAAAAACATTCGACTAAATCATCATCGATCAATTTGGATGATAAAAATCCATCATCATCATCAACAACAACAAAAAAACAATCGAAAACCAATAGTGATACTTTGTTGATGATGATGACCACAACTAAAGTTGATGATGATAATGATAAAAATCCAAATCATGATGATGACAATGTTAGATGATGATACCCTCATTACGATACATAACAAACAAACAAAAAAAACCTACATATTTTGATCAGAATGAATATTTGTCGATAATCCAATTCATTCGCAAATAGCTGATTTTTGATTATTTTTGCCAATTTAGAATCATTTTATTTTTATTTTATCTTTTATTTTGTTCATTTCGATCATAGTGATGAATGAGTGTTTGTTTTGCGCGCTGTTAGATTTTTTTTTTTGATGAAAAGTTAATGCCCGAAAATATTTAGTGTGTTAATGGTATGTTTGTGTGTGTGTGTACGTGTGTGTTAAATGTGGATTTCTTAATTCAAATTCAATTTATTAATTCTGGTTTAATTGTTGATTGCCTTGTTGATTTTTTTTCTTCTATTATTTTTCGAAAAAAATTTTATTATTATGTTTTGGTTGGTTTCGTTCGTTCGTTATTGTTATTATTCCCTTAATATATTTATATATCGTTGCTGAATGAATGTTTGGTACCAAATAATTGGACCATTTTGTTAAATGCATGTGCATGTCAAAAACCTTAAGTTTGTTGCAGCAGCAGCAGAGAAAAAAAATCGGCCATTCAGGAAAAAAAATCCTTAAAAATTACCGAATGCCTAAATATTTTTTCAGCCTTGAAAACAAAAAAAAACATTTTTCGAATCAATTCAGATGAAAAGGCCAGAAAAAAAATCGAAATTGAAAAAAATTTAAAAAAATTGAAAAATTCGACCAATTTTTTTTTTTGCTCTAACCTAACCTAACCTAACCTGATCGAGCCACACATGCACCACACACACAACAATAACAACAAACAAGATGCGCGCGCATATCCCCTTGATTACAGTGTGTGTGTAACAAACACACACACACAATATTTCAGTCAATCGAAATTCAAAAAAAAAAATTCAAAAAAAAAAATTCAAAAAAAAAAAAAAAAATTTTTATCTCAATTAAAA